GACTCTCTCACCAGTGGTCAGAACCTTCACGAAGAAAGAAGTACACGGCAAACGATGCACGTATTGCGTCCCTCAAGATCCAGCTCCTGAACCAACACCTGAGTGAGATGGAATATGCTGAGCACGTGGGCGACCTCCTTCATCTGCAGTAATGACATTAAATCCATTATGATATTCATATGCTATTCATATTCAACAATGTAAAGTTTTGATGAATATGTTATCCTTGTTGAATAAAAAATGAGAAAACAAGACTTGTTTTGTTATATACGGTAACCTGTTAGAATCACAAAGCATGTTTTGACAGCATAGCCGCGAGAGCCACATTATACACTCACGCAACCATAACCATTGCCTCGAGAGCCACATCAATTTGGGCTATCTATTTTCGAAATGTGGCTTTGCCGGCCTGTAACCCATAGCACATGGGGGCCGTGCCAGTTGACTTGTCAGAGAGGTAGGCTATACACAAAGTATATACCTGATCTCGACTACCGGTTGTGGAAGCCTCAGTGGCTGAGTGGGTTAGATCGCTGGAGTATGTGTGTGTGTGTGTGTGTGTGTGTGTGTGTGTGTGTGTGTGTGTGTGTATATATACAGTAAACTACGGTTATAGCGAACACGCTTATAACGAACTGACGGTTATAACGAACTTACTTTTTTGGTCCCGACTATTTGCCGTAGGTATGCTGTATATATGCTTATAACGAACTACTGGTTATAACGAACTAAAATAAGTAGTCCCTTTGAGTTCGTTATAACCGTAGTTTACTGTACAGCAAATATTAGTTGAAACTTGATGTTTTGTGTAACCTCCTACACTTTTACAGCATGAAATATTTTGTTTCAATTATTCTTTTGAGGTGAGGTTGCCGCGCAATGATACACCGATCATTGATCAAAATTCTCATCCTTTCGCATTTGGTATAGGAAACACGTAATTCCCTTCTTGGAAGAATGGTGTTATTGTAATCCCCCAAACACCACCCATCATAATCAGTATGCTGAACGGTACTTACGATCTGGTAAGCCTTTTCACATCTGAAAGCAGAAGAAAGCCAATGTAGGTTCACGTTACAGGCTACTTGCAATCTTTGTAATCTGATTTAAACGGGATTCTACATCCGCTGTAGTTAGGCTACGCCAGTTCCTGTGTATATGCAGAGAAAGTGCAATGTACGCCAGCTGGTATCTGCCCTGCGGGAATACGTGTCATGTGACGTATATGACTTTAGTGAAACCAAACGCTCCCTATCCCAAAGGGAATGGTATCTTGAAATTGCAACTTAGTATCTTGAAATTTCAACTTAGTATCTTGAAATTTCAAGAAAAAAACCCAATAAAAAACCAAACAAATGGCCCTAAATGGCTTCCGTATAAATGACTAACAGATTCAATAGTTAGCATTATATCATTGTTTCCAAATTGTTTATCATTAATATTGTTAAATCTATGTTATATTTGGGATAACATTTGTCACATTTGACCACTTTCTAAATGGCGTGAAGTGGGGTTTAACGTCACGTCCAAGATTATTGCACTTATATAGCGACGTGCATGTACGTGTGTGTGTTTGTGTGGCTGCTTGTACTAGTCCGGACTGATGCCGATTTATAGTGCTAGCTCACTGAGATACCATGCCGCAGTTTAACATGAATACCCCACTCAGACACAGGCTTTCGGCCAGGGGAGCCGTGCCAATTTACACTTGTCAGAGAGGTACACACAAAATACCTGATCTAGACTTTCATTGTTGTGGAAGCATCGGTGCCATGGCTGAGTGGGTTAGACCGCTGACTTTGTGTGCTGGCGATAAGGTGCCTCACTCCGGCAGTTTGGGTTCGAATCTCGGACGGGACTCAACCCCAAAACGTTCGAGAAATCTGTACGTTACTAAGAAAGTGTTATCCCAAATATAGCATAGCCCGAACATCTACGAGGTAGTGAAGCTATTTCAGCGAGAGCAGTCACTCAAAGAGGTTGCAGTCCTGAGACTCTCTCACCAGTGGTCAGAACCTTCACGAAGAAAGAAGTACACGGCAAACGATGCACGTATTGCGTCCCTCAAGATCCAGCTCCTGAACCAACACCTGAGTGAGATGGAATATGCTGAGCACGTGGGCGACCTCCTTCATCTGCAGTAATGACATTAAATCCATTATGATATTCATATGCTATTCATATTCAACAATGTAAAGTTTTGATGAATATGTTATCCTTGTTGAATAAAAAATGAGAAAACAAGACTTGTTTTGTTATATACGGTAACCTGTTAGAATCACAAAGCATGTTTTGACAGCATAGCCGCGAGAGCCACATTATACACTCACGCAACCATAACCATTGCCTCGAGAGCCACATCAATTTGGGCTATCTATTTTCGAAATGTGGCTTTGCCGGCCTGTAACCCATAGCACATGGGGGCCGTGCCAGTTGACTTGTCAGAGAGGTAGGCTATACACAAAGTATATACCTGATCTCGACTACCGGTTGTGGAAGCCTCAGTGGCTGAGTGGGTTAGATCGCTGGAGTGTGTGTGTGTGTGTGTGTGTGTGTGTGTGTGTGTGTGTGTGTGTGTGTGTTTCCTCAATCACAGTTTTCACTTTTTAAGAGCAATCACATCTACAAGTTCTCAGAAATATTTCATGATCTCAAAGGCGAATGGTCATAGTCTTCCAATATTTCATCCTGTGAAAGATTTGAGGTCTTGGACCAATGCAGCAATCGTGGAAGTATCAGCATGATATATAGACATGTACAATAAGAATAACATGATTAATGTTACAGGTTCACATTCTTTGATAAGAGAATCCAAAGGTCATGGAGGACACCCCGTCTCAGTCATGTTAAGGAATATAACATAAAACTGAATAATTATCGTTGGGAATTTCCGGAATGAATTATTTCCATCCATGCTTTTCAAATATACAAATACGCACGCACGCACGCACGCACGCACGCACGCACGGGAAAGGGAAATGTGCGTGCGTGCGTTTATGTTTATGGTATACATTTACAAAGTTGTGTGTATGTATGTGTACAACCTTACAAATGCTTTCTTTTAATTAATATTTAATTATTTCACACAAAAGATTGTATTAAAATATATATAGATATATAACCTTACATATGCTTCTTTTAATTAACATTTAATTATTTCACACAAAATATAATGATTTAATATATACACTGTGCCGTATTCGCAAAGCTGCATGCTCAATCCGTTATTTGTAAATCAATATTTGGTGACATTTTTGGCTATTACCATTGTCAGGTTAATATATTATGCAAAAATACAAGGTTTTTTTTTCGGCCAATAAATTATCTTAGTTTACAAATGAAGGAAACATTGTGTAGATCTACTCCTTATTCGTAATAGCTGTGGGTACAACTCATCTCATGTATATAGTGCTTCACAAAACATTTCCTGAAAATCCCAATAAGTTTGATTCATACTGGGGGGTACACAAATATGTATTTTTCTTGTTTTATACATTTTATTTCACCTTTCCCCTGTTACATGAGGAGGATGGCCATCCAGGGCAATGGTCACCCTCACATTCTGAAGACAATGTATGTATACATTTGGGGAAAATTAAATACAAGTATTGGAAATGGTGCCAAGGTGATTTTTAAGAAATATAACAAAACATACACACAGTCAAGCATTCAAAATATTATTCAAACACTGATCCTGGCAAGAAACAAATATGAGAAAGAGATACATATGTTATTGCTGTTCTGCTTCTTCAAACAATATGGGATAAAAGATCCATGATTTATAAAATGTTGCTACATTACCATTTGTAAAGGCTATATTCTTCTCGATTTTGTATCTCAGACAAACATCCTTTTGAAACATTGCGAAGCAAAGATTTTTTGATTTTTTTTGAATCTACAGAAATATATAAAAGATTTAGCTCTTAAAATAAGAAGATCAAAAACTTTGTCAGTAACAATATTTTCTTTAACACCAAATAATACAAGTTCATGTGATGTATATGGTTACATTTATTTATCCAATCTAAGAAGGTTTTCCAAAATACTTGTACAAGTTCACATCCCCAAAAGAGGTGTACAATAGTTTCATCATAACATTTGCAAAAAGAACAAAGCGTGGTATCAGAAATATTCATTTTAAACAACAAAGAATTAGTTGCAAGTATTCTATGTATGATTTGATACTGAAACCAACGCAATTTCACCTCTTGTGTTGCATTAGAAGGCTTAACACAAATAATATTCCAATTCAATTTTTCATAACTGTAACTCCTTCTTTTCCTGGCCTCTTGTTTTCATATCAACAAATACACGAATATTATAAAAATATTTAGTGCCTGTACTTTTAGAGAAGATCTTTTTAACAGCACAGCGATGTTCTTCTACAGGGTCAGTATAGGGAGTTTAGTCCAATTCAAAATGGTCAAATATCTCTTTATACCACAAACAATACCATAAAAAGCCAAGAAAGTTGATTTTATCTTGTACATGTCTTTGAATTCTTCAAAAGATATGAATTCATGATTATGATTTACAATGTCTGCTATTTGGGTGATACCTTTATCAACCCAATCTTTCAAGAATATTGGTAATTTATTAACTTCGATGTTGCGATTGAAAAAAATAGGTTCAGCTAAAAAACAACTGAAAGTATCTGGTACAATCTTCTTATCAAAATCTACAAAAGCTTCATAACAGTTTTTCCAAAATATATTTTAAAACAAACACAGCTTCTTTTCTATAAAACGAGATCCAAACTCTTCGAGTTCATTAACAAAAGGAAATGCAACCTTGTGGATGTCTTTCCACTTTTTGGTATCTCCACATAATAATCGCCTTATCCAAGTAATCTTAATAGATTTTATGGTACACAAATATTTAATCTCATGAACGCCATCAGCGCTGCGATTGCTCCATGGAATTAATATGTACTGGTACAAACTCTTGACAAAATGTGAATATGAGGCTCCATTGTTTCCCGCCACAATGACCGGAAATGACGTAGGTTCAGCACGTGCGACGTTCAGAGGACGTCGCGTCTTGCTTGCCGTCACGGGATATTGATGATAAAAACAACATTTGGCCATGTTGTAAAGATTTAACCAATACAATGATTACTTGGCAAGTCATTATCTTACACCTTGCCTGTGGTAAGTAATTAAGAACATATTTGTGAAAGGATTGGTATGTTTGTCAAAAGTTTGTCAACTTCTCTCCATGTTTTGTCGTCTGCGTGCAAGCTGTAAAGGACAAACCTTGATTTACAAGTTCAGTAGTCGTAAATGTACAATACACAGAGAGTATTGTATGGTTGATGTGTAAAAGCGGTTGTAATTTAACTCTTTCAACACCGTAGGCCGGTTTTCCGGCCAAGAAGCATCGCGTCCCCAGACACCGTAGGCCGGTTCACCGGCCAAGCCGTAGTCACGTCAAAATAGTATATATTTTTATGGCCCTACCTGTAATATCATTCATTTATTAAATCTATCACATTTCATAATGTCTGAAATACATATTCCAATTCAATTTATCATTTTTTATCGATAGATTAAAAACATATTCACTAATTCCCGCGATGTTATTGAAAATTCTCGGACACACATTTCGACAACGGGTCCACATCGAACATGTCAAAGAGCAAAATAAAGAGGTTTTAAACAAATCTTTAAATATATTATACAAAGTAATAAATAAAATCAACAAAATATATCTAAAAGTAATCAAACTTACATCTAAGTTATTATTTCCATCTTTTCGTGCGATAGCGTGTAATGTAAGTCAAATGACATCTCGGCTTTCGTCGCCTTGAATCCACGGCTCGGACACGATGTTTAATGCAAAAATATATGCATGAAAAATCTTTGTCACAGCTCGTAACCTAGCACGATACGTTCACGAAGTTCCATATATTTAATACATATCGTGATTTCCTGCTTAAAACGTTCAGAATAGCACGATTTAACAAAAATCTTTCGCCAACTTCTGAAATTTATCAAAGACGAGCTTGGTATCACAGCTGTAATTTGATTGGCTGCCTTAAGGTCACGTGCTCAAAATTAACCAATCACAAAACGTGTAGCAGATTTCGGCAAGAAAGCGTCATTAGAAACGGGGGTATTTTACTGAGCGGACAGCCGCTGTTATCGGGAAATGGGTGATGACATAATTCTTTTTTTAAAATGATTTTCCATTTACGTAAACAATGAAAATAAAACAGAAATAGGTAAGTGGATTTTATGAAATCTTATATTTGCGGAAAATCGTCAAGTTTTCACTTCCTTGGTCCTTAATCTGGATGTTAACAACGTGTTAGCTTACATTTTTTTATTTACAACGAACTTAATTAAGTTGTAAATGCATTATTTTAAATAATGTGAAAAACATACCTTTCATATATAAAAACCATAGGATCAGACCCTTCAAATGGTGTATAACATGTAGTGGCAAATATGTATTACAAGCAGATATTTTCTTTGATAAATGTTGGCTTCATCTATCACACAAGAGTCTCTGGGAACTAGGTGTCCCAGCAGTAAACAATTCTGGTTGACTGGTGTTGAAAGAGTAAATAACTGACATTAATCCCTACACATTTACAGCGTTAGAAATTGGCACTAGTCCTGTAGTCCTTACCAAACTGCCCAATAGTAAAGGTATCCTAAGGACTAGTAGAAATTTGCCATGTTTAGGGGTTTTGCTATATGTTCTCATTATAAGGACTAGTGGACAAAAACTGTTAGTTTCTAACCCTGATTTACCTGTTTCTGGGACTAGAATACATACATGCTAGTGAGGCTACAGTGTTTGAGTTGTGTTTCTTTCTTCACTTTTCCGTCTCACAACACCCAGTGTCCTCAATGTATAAGTGTCGTTGTATACATAACAAGGGTACACATCACTGATCTTTTCATTCGCCTTCCCTGTCCCCAGTCCCTTACCCCTCCATTCGCCTTTCCGGTACTACTGGTAAATAGATTTTCGACTTCCGGCCCGACACCGCCTACACCTCATCTGGCCTACACTACTATCAAAACAAATTTATGGATGAGTGCACATCACACTTGTACCGTTATCCCTTAAGTAAAATGAACTTTTCCAATAAGATAACAAAGAATGTAAATGACTTTTGATACTGTAATTTCAATTTGTATATGAGATCATCTTCACAACTCAAATGTTTTCACAACATCAAATATCATAAATACACATATATTATCATAGCACTGTACATTTATATCCATCATCTTCATGTTTTAAAACATTAGCACTTCTGAGCATAAATAAATGTGTGGTAAAAATCTTTAAGTGTCAGTAAATGTTAGTCTAGTAAAACATCTTTGCAACTACATGTTATACACCATTTGAAAGGTCTAATCCTACTGTTTATATGTTCATCACTATTTAAATAAAGCATTTTCAACTTAAGTAAGTTGTAAATAAAAACAAATGTAAGCTAACACATTCAAACGACCAGATTGAGGACCAAGGAAGGGAAAATTTGACGATTTTTGTCAAATATAAACAAACATAAAATCCACTTACCCATTTCATTTTTATTTTCATTGTTTACCTGATCGGAAAAGTATTTTATAAATAATTGTAAATAGTATCTGTCATCACCAATTTCTCGATACCAGGGGCTGTCAGTAAAATGAAGAAATACGTTAGTTTTCGATGCTTCGTATTGGAAAGTTTATTTTTTCATCTACGCTAACCTCGCCCAGTCTTTTCGTAGCTGTAACGTGCTTTCTTGCCGATATCTGCTACGAGGGTGGTGATTGGTCAAACTAGAGTACATGACCTAAGGCTGTCAATCAAATTACAGCAATTGCACATGTGTAATGAAAGATTTTGACGAAAGTTTTTAGTTATTCTGAACGTTTCAAGCAGGAAACTCGCGATCTAAATTAAAAACATGGAACTTCGTGTATGTATTGTGCTAGGTTAGGAGCTGTGACAAAGGTTTTTCAGGTATATTGGAAACATCGTATCCGAGCCGAGAAATCGAGGCGACGAAAGCCGAGATGTCATTTGATTTACATTACACGCGATCGCACGAAAAGATTGAAATAATAACTTAGCTGTAAGTTTGACAACTTATAGATTATATATTGCTTGATTTTATTTATAATTTTGTATACTAGATTTAAAAAATTCCTTGAAACGTCTTTATTTTGCTCTTTGACATGGTCGATGTGGACCCGTTGTGGAAGTGTGTCCGAGAATTCTTTTTTTCAATATCATCGCGTGAAATTGTGAATCATTTAATCTATCGATAAAAAATGATAAATTGAAATGGAATACGTATTTCAGACATTGTGAAATGTGATAGATTTAATAAATGAATGATATGACAGGTAGGTTCATAAAATTATATAGATCTACCATTTATTTTGACGTGACTACGACTTGGCCGGTCTGACTCTACCGGCCTGCGGTGTCTTGGGACTCGAGGCTTCTTGGCCAGTGTACCGGCCTACGGTGTTGAAAGAGTATATTGGCTCATCAAGCAAACTTTCTTGAAACCTATTTTTCATTTGACACAGTTTCGGCGATGCCATACGGAACTCTCATATATTTATGCATAACTCCGCCCACTGAATCCAAAACGAGGCTGACCCGGCGCGCGACCGACCAGGAAGAGCGAGTCTAAAATGGCGCGACTTTCGAGTAACTTTCACTGTTGTGTCCCGCAATGCTCAAGCTATTCGCGCTACGAAGCCAATATCATTTTTCACGCGTTCCCCAAGGCAGAAGATCGGCGGAGGAAATGGATTATATCTATTCGAAGAGAAGAGGGTCCGTTTTCCAAGGTACTTTGACAGTGACCTGCATACCTCCTTGACCTACGATTATGTAATTCAATGCGGAAGTGTTTTCTATCGTCCAAATTTAATAACGTGAACGTTGTTGAACGAACTGAATACTGATAAATGATTACATAAATAAGTAATTTATAACATGTATCCAACTATCGAAATAATCACCAAATGTCTTGGGGACATATTAACTACCAACTTTGATGATTAATAGTTTGTGTGTAGCATTGAAATTACATCTTGTGACTATTACTGTGTTCATCGAAGTACATTCTTGATAATGTGGTTGACGTGCATTTATTCCAATTTCAGATATCAAAATGCACTGTCGTTTGTGGTAAACACTTCAGAGAGGAGTAGAAAAAATATATCTGTAAAACACCAGGTATTCTTTTAATGTTAATCTTAATTACCATCTAATTTAATTTATAGGCTAGATTTATGTGTGTGTTATAGTTCCGAAGTTGTGTCTGTTTCAAACATATATATTTTAATGATTTAATCTCATTGAAATTAATGTTTCCTTTTAACATCATGCACATATGAATTTGTTTTATATGTTTGCACTGTATAAGATTTTCGACTGATACTTTATAGGTACTCTGCCCTCTATTTTCGCATGGTCCAACCCCACCCCACAGCGGAAACCACCTGTCCAAAGGTCACACCTGCAATCCAGCCAGTCCAGGAAACGTTTAGCAGAAGTCCTCACAGATGGGTAATTACAATGATTCTCTTTATAAAAAAGTAAAATTGATCACTTTTTGTTGATTTATAATGAATATAATTATATTGATATATATAATATAATCTTCCCATGAAACTCCAAACATCTTCTAAACAGAACTATTGTTGTTCTAATTTAATGGAGAAAACAAAATGCATGTCAGTCATGAGGCGTGTGTTGAAAACATAAATGATATATATGAATAATATTACCAATCATGTTGATATTACAGGCAAAACATACCAATGGGCACAGATGATGCTGACCAGGTTGATCAGCTTGATGAACTACACAGAAAACTCAAGGAAACTGAAGAAGCACTTCGCAAGAAAGAAGAGGAAAGTTGTGAACTTGAAAAAAAACCATGTAGAACTTAAAGATGAGATATATTTTGAAAAGTTTGGAGTTAACCGATTTAGCACTGATAATTCTTTGATACGATTCTACACTGGTTTTCGAACATATGCTCTGTTTTGTGCAAAGTGCATACTATGTTCCAAGTGAAATTGTATCTCTTGCTGGTAGACCAAGGTCAATGCTGCTCATAGATGAGTTTTTTTATGTTTTTTTGTAGACTGAGAGCTGGTCTGCTAGAACTGGATTT